TCTGTGAGCCACACTGAACCCTAACGCTCCGTTGTAAACACTACCAACCGTGTATATGGCAGTCGTGTGGCACGTGTAGTCTAGTTTCACCTCTCGAAATAATAACTAATAAATAAAGATGCTTAATGGTCTATTTGATTTAGGTACAGAGTACTACTTAACTTGCTTCTCTAAAAGCTGCTGATAAATCTTGGACTTTCCGAGCCGAACGAGGTCTGTAGTAGAGACAGAACTTGTTTTTAATTTCTTGTACTACTCAACAGTTTTTCTGTTGTTAATGGGGATAAAACGTTTCTAGTAAGTGTTAAAACATTCCCTTTCCTCTCTCTTAGAACTTAACAATCTTTAAATCAAATTCTTGTCTTCACAACTTGGTATTTCTTGGCCAGCAGCTAAATTCAGCGCTCCTTTGTCAGATTTCTACTTGACGTAGGACGGTTGACCACCGAAGGGGGTCTCGTTTGCTTTCAGGCAAGTAGAAACGACTGAATTCCTGCCGCGCGTTACCCCTCCCTGCTGGGAACGCCACTGGGCTGGCCCCGCAGGTCAGCGCTCTTCCCAAAGCTTTCTTCGCGGCGTTTACGTGCAGATGTTGGTACGCGCCCCTCCTCCGTGTCTGTGCTGAACCTGTAACGTGCTCAATAAAAGTGGACACAAATAAAAGAGATTCTTACAGGACTGGTACGATGCCTCGGTGTTTCTTGAGAACCTTATCCCCCAACAGCGAAAACCCCGTATCCGCTGGTTTCTGCCCAAACTTCATTACGAAATCTCTCCGAAAGCCTGACGAAAGTACTTTGGCTTCATGACTGGATCTTAGGGGGCAGCTGAGCTGCTCAGAGCAGCCGCCTGCACGGGGAGTGTGGAACGTAGGTCTGTTCTACCCCCGGGCACCACCAGCAGCTGCCTGCGCCCTGCGGCTTTCCACACTCGCAGCCTTGCTCACCTACGGAATCGTCCCGGTGTAGTCTTCTCTACAAACAGAGAGAGGAACGATGGGAAACTACAGGGTCTCCGAAGCCGTTTTCCTCACCCGTTCCTTTTCCAGTGTTCCGTCGATGACCCAAAACCGAATGCTGCGGAGTTAACGGCAGGTGGGGAGGGGTTACACGTAGGAAGCGGGGTGTTTCTTCTGCTTTGTCCTACACGGTGGGAAGGAAAAAGTCAGGAAAACCTTTTTTAAAAAGCCCACATCGCCCCTAGGGTACTCGAATGAAGCAGCACTCTTCAAGGCAGGACAGTTGACAACGAAGCGGTGGGAGAGGTGACGGATTTGTGGGGTCCAGCCCTCACAACCGTTTTCTTCTTTTCAGTTTGCAGGATTTAAGGAAGTGTCTTGCTTTTGCGTTCTGACCCTGTCGGCTCCATGTCGGTAATCTGAGAATCTGCACAAAAATAGTACAACTAATGCCTTAGTCACCCCCGTTCCAGATGCACCCGGCAGTAACTTCCTGACGCAAAGGAGGAAGAACAGCCTTTAAAAGTAGATCACAAATTCCTGTAGGTCCTGAGGGACTGTCCGCACTCCCCATAAACCGCAATTCCGGCAACCCTGCAGTGCAGTGAACATCCGTCTCGTCTTTCCGGAGGACTTCCACATCCAGTGTGGAATGGAACGGTACTTGGGGAGCACAACCCCGGGCCAGCGCGGGAGTCCTCGGTTGTACGGGTGTGTCCCCTGCCCCCCCCATCCCGTACTACCAACGGCTGACAGTTCCCTCCCATCCAGGCACTGCAGGGTACTCCATTCTCCCATCTTCCCGGGGCTCTCGGCACAGGGCAGCTCATTTGGTCGCCGCTTTTCCAGGTCCTGCCGGTACCGACGCTGCAGCTGCCTGTGCAGTGCCCAGCGTGGCCAGGGCGGGTCGGTCAGAGCAAAGCGCCAGCGGGAGAGGATAAAACCCATCCTCACGGCCTCTCCTGGTCCGTCTGGGACAGAGCATGTCTTCACTGGGCGGTGCGCTAACACAGTCCTGTCTCTGCATCTCGCAGCGGCACGACGCAGGGGAACTCGCTGTCCTTGGGGCCGCTACGCTTTTTGTCACGTCAGCCAAGTGACTCGACAGGCTCAGAGGTTACAAAGCAACAGACAAAGAGAGTATTTGCATTGCCTTTTTTTGGGAGGGATGTGTGTGTGTGCAGTCATCTCTCTGAAAAGTGAGGTTATTTTATCCTAAGGGGTGTAATAACTCCAGTAAAGGCCAGTTGGCAACAGGAAGAAGCTAAGCGAGTGGTATCCAGTGCCAGGACACAGGAAAGGTTCAAAGCTGCGCCAGCGGAGGTTTAGGCTGGGCATGAGGAGGGATTTCTTGACTGAGAGGGGGGTCAAACCCTGGAACAGGGTCCCTGGGGAGGTGGGCGAGGCCCCAGGCCTGTCAGTGTTTAAGAGGCATCCGGTCAGGCAGTTGGAGTGGAGGGGCAATTGGAGGTCCCTCCCAACTGAAGTAGTCCATTCCATTCCATTCCATTCTAACACAGCCCCACCTGGAGCTAGAGTAGGAAACCCGGGCCCCACACACTTTTCATGCTCTTGGTACAGCACACAAACATCCCAGACGTAGGTGCTGCCCCAAGGGGGTGCCCAGGCTCTCACCGTTAGGCACAGAAGGAACAGGATGCACAGGCAGGTTCCTAAACAGCCGTTTTCCGCAGAGCCGGTCTTTGAGAAATTCGCCTCATGGCTGAGGGTGGAGAACCGCATAGGGCCATCCACCCACCTCACCTCCCGACGCCGCCGTAAGGAGCGTTGCAGGGATTCCGAGCTCGCACGTCCTCTGCAAAGGCTTCGCCTGGGTACCCAGCACTGGCACAGGAGAGCGACAGCCGGACGCTCTCACAGCCGGACGCCTGCCTTCCAGGGCGGTTAGCTCGACGTCCTGCTCTGCGGCGTGTCCGTGTTAACATTGCCACCTACGGGATGCCACGGACCACGGCGTCTATTCTGCGTCCGCGCTGCATGAGCAGGCTCTCACGGAAAACTGAGACAGGTGAAATGAAGAGACATCCATTTTCACCCAGTTTTATCCTCAAAAAGGTTTTTTTTTATTGACAGCATGGAGACCAACAGCTGGGGTACGTCCGTATTTTTATGACAGCCTTGTCTCCACTCACGGTCCCACAACGGCCTCCAACCATCTTCCCTCTCCCAGAAATTAAGGGAGCAAGAGGAAGGGTGCTGAAGAAAGGGGGAAAGACCTGCAGAAACCTGACCTACCCCCTCGATCCACTTGGTTTTGACCCTGTAAGGAAGACGGTTTCTCAGAAACAGAGAGAGGAAGGTCTGGTTTGCAAGCTGAGCCCCGGGGAGTTGCGTTTTGAGCCCGTGATGCCTCGTTCCGGAAGAGGTATCACTCACGCAGCGTGCTGCAGGTGAGCTCATTTAGAGACGGGGGATGAGCAAAGAGGGGCGGAGGGAATCGGACTCCAACTCCCTCACGGCAGCGATCACCCCGTTTCCTGGCAGCGCGCAGTTTGCTTAAAAAAAAGGTCAGCTTTACGCAAAGTACTCACTGAGCTCCCTCTGTTAACTCAATTAAATCAGTTTTATACACTTCAGTATTACTCTTTTCAGAAATAGTTCTTTTTTGTACGATCCACACTTTAAAGCAGCTTTAGGGTTTCGGGTCCTTGGATCGGGGCGTTTGGGTAAGCGGCATCACAGAGAGGCTGCCCCAACGCATACCACAGCGCAGACGAGTCTTCCGACACCCGAGCTGCTGGCCACCACGAACAGGTATCCTGTGACACTCGACCTCCGCAACTTCCAGCTGCCTGCGGTCTGAAGCTGTGATTTACTTGGGCACAACATGACCAGTTGTCGTCGGGAGTCCCTCCCCGCCACATCACGGAGCTGACTCAGCCCGCACCAATCCATTCGTGCGGAGCTCCCAGCTTTTCAAGCCTCAGAAAAGTTACTTGGCCAAAGCCAGGAATAACTAGAGGCCCACAGCCCGTAGGCAGTTACAGCCTTTCGCCTCACAAGCACCTCCCGCTCTTGCTCGCACACCTCACTTGCTGTTTTTCACCAGGTTGGGCACGGAGCAGGCGTAACTAACCACCTCGAACCACGTCCCGTTGTTTTCTGTACCAAACCCACTTTTCAGAGAGCACCCGCTCCCGCCGCTCCTGCCCCACGGCGTTCCGTCAGCTGGCACTTTAACGAACTTCTCAGAGTTTGGGTATGTGCTCAAGGCCTGACACCCCAGAGGTAGCTTGTGTAAAGCATCATCAGCAGAAAAATAAAGAGGCGACATTAGTATCTGTCAACTGCAGCCCTGGAACACAGCATTCCGTTCTGCTCCGGAGGCCTACGTACTGCTCCTCTCACACTGGCACAGGGATCGGCCTGAGGAACTGCCATGGCAGCTTTCGGACTTGGGACAACTGCAGTGACAACCAGAACGCAGCCTCCTCCTTCCTTGTTTTTCAAATTACCGTAAAACTTCACAATATTACACTTACAGCATGAGTCGCTGACATCTTTCCAACAGGCTGTGCAGGAAAAAATGAATGCTTCGGGAAAAGTATTCCCTAAGATAACTTTTTGGAAAATGAACATGCCACCTTTATTAGCACGCTTGAGAGCTGCACAGATTATCAGCTAGCAAGGGAAGTTTACAGAGCCGCAGCTTCATTGCCTTACATGGAATCACAGAACGGTTTGGGTTGGAAGGGGCCTTAGGGACCGTCTAGTTCCAACCCCCCTGCTATGGGCAGGGACACCCTCAGTTTTCTGTAAGTGACAGAGATCAGGGACAGAGTTTTCTGTTGGTGGTAAAGACTCCCCAGAATTAAGATAATCACTTCCCTAGCACAGATTCATGGTTTACTAAGGCGATCAGTTTTCAGGTTACCTAGTTTGCATAACAATATTTATTTATTTATCAAAAGCTGCATATTTTTTCCAGAAAGAAGTAACTCCCCCACCCACCCCATTTTCTCAGGTTCTTCCACTTTCAACAGCGGACGGGAGCTGGGGCCGTGCAGGCTGCGCGTGGAGACTCACTGTTACACAGAAGCGAGGCAGCTACATGCATTCCAGCCCCGAGAACAGCAGGCAGTTCTATGCAGCGTCACCCCTTCACTCCTTGCTTCTATCTTTCACTTCAAAGCGGCGGTGAGTAACCTGTCCGTCAGCCGTTCCAGACGCCAGCTCACTTCTTTTTCTTCCCTTTACCTTTCTTGCCTCCTTCTCCTTGCTGAAGACTTTGGTCGCTACCTCCCATCTTTTGGGTCCTTGTTTTCAGTTTGGGAATGGTTTCTGCAGCATACAGCATCACTGATTTACCTAGAAGTACCGGCAGGGATCAGTGCAGGCCTACTTTGTTAAGAACATTTGCATCATTTCCAAAGTTAGACGAACTTCAGTTAGAAACTTCAGATTTCTGTTAAGCTAGATACAAAGCCAAGGAGTTCTGCTTCCTTCCCCCATGTAGCTAGGAGTTTATGAAACACTCTTATTGACCTTTTTTAATTTTAGAAAGGTGCAGGACTGATAAACATCACAGCATACACAGCTGGCACATAACCCAATGAACTCCGAACTATCTACATCTTCCCTGTGACACTTTTCCCTTCAACGGCCCTAAAACACCTGGGACAGAATGACTGGGCAAAGGGCACAAGCACCTTTAAAAAAAGAGGCGCTACTGTCTTCCAGCAGGAATAATTACATCGTCTCCTTATGACCAACAGCACTCTCACGCTACTCCAGTCAGTATTCCTCCTGCTCTTTCCTCAGGATACACACTTCTTCAGTTACATACAGTTGCTGCCCTTTTACACACTGATTACTCATGAGGAAAAATGCAAAAGACTGAATTGTCATTCAAGATGAACTATTCTTGTTAATTAGTTGGAGGGAGCTGCTCCATTATTAGTTTATGACAACGGCCGACAGAAAACTGAAGTCAGCACTGTACTTTTATCAATTTGGCACCCGTGCTGATGCATCTAACCCCATAAAAAGGTGGAATTTAGCCGTTTTAATGCCAAAGCCGCTGTATTGACTGCCAACAAAACAGTGAGCCAAAACGAAACGGCTGGGGTGGTGAACACAGCCCCCTCCCGCCACACGCCACTTTTCACAACCCCCTTGAGTCCAAGCGCTGAAGAAACGGGAGGATTAAAGACAGCGGCGTTTTACAAAACCCACTCAGCAACTCGGTTTGGCTGGCTTACACAGGCAAACAGGTTTAACATAGAGTTGCAACATTTGTAACAGTGAAACTAACTGAACAATCTGGTAACATCACAACATAAACAAAAGTCTCTCTGTTTTAGCCGCAGATGAAGTGCCTAACCCAGGTACTCTACTCACGTGTTGGAAACTGAGGTAAACACGGGTTGCCATCATCTTGTTTGAGCTGGATTCGAACTCTCCCTCTGTACTGCACGTCTCTGTTCCACTCTCTAGGATACATCTTATTCTTCTGTCATACACAAGGAGACATTTATGAGAAGTACGGGAATAATTCTCTGCAAAATTCGTCAGGCAGTTGCTCTAAAAAAACGTTACAGGTTTCTTACTGGTTGTTTCACAGGCTGGTGTGCACTAAAAGGAAGGTATTTGACATCCTCTGAAAAGCAAAGGGATACTGTACACTCTGTTTGAATACCAGCCACACTCTCAGATGAGGACCTGAATTCTTTAGCAAAGAAGCGACAGAAAATTCAATGGTACTTTAAATTAAAAATTCCTTCAGAAAATGAATTGTCAGAAGTTACCTCTCTGGAAGCCCAGAGCAAGAAGTCACCAACTTTAACTATTTAAAGACCAAGTAGGTATTGCAATAGGAAAATCAACATTCTCTCCTGAGACATAATTCTAAAGGACACTGAAGATTAAGCTTCAGGTTTAAATTGAAAGCAGGGAGGTTTAGATTAGGTATCAGGAAGAAGTTCTTCCTGGAGAGGGTGGTGAGGCACTGGAACAGGTTGCCCAGAGAAGCTGTGGATGCCCCATCCCTGGAAGTGTTCAAGGCCAGGCTGGATGAGGCTTGGAGCAACCTGGTCTGGGGGAAGGTGTCCCTGCCCATGGCAGGGGGGGGGGACTAGATGGTCTTTAAGGTCCCTTCCAGCCTAAACCATTCTGTGATTCTATGAGGATCCTATTCCTACAGGACAGTCATCCCAAGAGGTCATTACCTTCCACTAAAAGATACGCTGTTTTAAAAAGCTTAATTTGGAGAGCTGCAGCTTGCAAAATTAGCTTTCAGTGTGACACCGTTCTCAGCATCTAGGACACTCTTCTCAGAAGAGTAGTTAAACAAAAGTAATCTTTTTATAAGCTTAAGAAGTAGCATCGTCTCAAGATATCTGGGTTATTCCTGCCTTGCACACAATTTTCCAACATTTACTTCATCATTTCGGTCAGATGTCACTCAAAGCAAGCGTCTTGGCCGGTAACAAGAACTTCTCAATTGTAAATTATCCTGTCTGTAAGAAAAGATAGAGCTCTACTGCTCTACCACATACACATACAAAGTATGTGGTACGGTGGGGTGTTTTCATTACCTCTAATAGCACGTTGAATCCTACTGCTGCACATACATCTTGGATTTCTGTAGATGTGGGATTTTCAACAGCCTGTTGAAACGACAAGTTAATTATTTTTTGATGATAAACTACCTGTACAGCAGTAGTTAGTTTCCCACCCTGTACACTATAACTAGAAAAACAAGAGCATGTACTTCAAATAATGACAATCTGTAGAATTCACCTGTGAGTGCTCCTATGGTCTAGAAAACATCAAAAAAAAAATCTCAAGAGATACAAGACACCAGTAAAACAGGAAACCAATGAGATAGAATTAATTAGGATGACAGCAAATAAAATGATGGCTTAGGAAAAATAAGTTAAATGAAAAAACATTTATTATATTAAAAAAAAAATACCCCAAAAGCCATGAATCAGCAAAAGCAAGCTTATAGCAAGGAATGAAGAACACAAACTTCCTGAGCACAGATCTGACAGGCAAACTGCATACTTTTATTTTTGACTACTGTCATAAAAAAACCCAGCACTAAGCAGTGAGAAAACCTCTTTGTATTCCCAGCACTGCTTGTTAAAAATATTATAAGCGAGTGAGATGATGAAAAACTATTACTGGACAGTTTAAAATCAACAACAGCTACGTGCCACATGCACTGGGGCTTCCGTCTTTGACAGCAGCAAAGGGGCCAGGGCACAGAACAAGACGTAAACGGTCTGTCACCAAGCAAACAATCATTAGCTAACTGTTCTTTTCTGCACCGCTTTCGAGTTTGGCAAACTACTCAGGTACGAGGCCAAGTGCATTACGTCTCTCGTTACCTCACCTGCTTGCCAAAGGTGCTGCACATGTGAAAGCAGACACCGAAACCCCGTGCTCTCCTACCAAATTCACATGCTGACACCAGACCACCTTCAAATGCACCCATTTCCAGTCTATCTGCCGTGGGGGGTGGGGAAGATGAACAGCTCCGGGATTTGTGTTCCAGCTCTCGACACACTACTGCACAGCAAACCAAAGCACCCCGTTTCCCCACCACCCACAAGATTACCTTGTCTATGGGGATCCTTCTTCCCTCCGCTATC